CAGCTTATTTGGCAAAAAGAATGTACTGATATATATTGTTTCACTTAATAAAAACGAACATAAGTTATTTACATATGTGATGCACAGGTTTTTATTTTATGAAACACTATATTTAAGCATATTATGTTGGGCTAAATAAGCTGAGTTTCCTTGCAGTTCTTATAATTGTCATCATACAAAAAATTGTCGCAAAAATATCACGTAAAAAATCTCGGAAAACAATCTCTGTAGTGAAAAGTGGGAATCCTAAATTTCAGGATTGCGGGTCTGGGTCCGCACCGGAAAGCTTTTAATTTGTTCACGGAGATGGCTTGATTCCAAAATGATATATGTTGGGCTATGGCCTTTAGGAGTAAAGTTGAAAAAGTGTGACACGCATTTATTTATATTGATGAAAGGAGTTATTGTGTCGTAGTAAAATATTTAAAGTTGTGCTTTTCAGGAAATTAAGCCTTTGCCTGTCTAGGGCATTTCCGTGTGTACTATCCAAAGGTTCATGCTTGTTTTCAGATTTATAAATATTGTAAGGCAACTCAGTTTATTTTGCAAATAGAATGTATTGATATTATAATGTTTCAAATAATAAAATGATGTGTAGGACTGGCAAAGGGTTAAAGAGAGACAACAAGAAAATAACAAGAATTAAGAAGATAGGAGATAGCGATCGACATTGCATTTAAATTTAGAAGATCAATGTTGACTGGGAAGAAGCCGGAGGAGAATCCCACAAACGAGACTGCGAGAGAAGGAACCGATAGCATAGAACTTACGGTTATATCTCGCCAGTTCAACTATAAAATGATGAGACCTACCTGCCAATCTAGTACGGCGCTTAAATTCCTAAAGTCTAGGCACCGTAAAGAAAAACTCACCAGAAAAATTACCCTGAAAATATTTATAGAAAATGTACAGGGAAGCTACATTACGGTAGTGGGGAAAGTAGCTGAAGCCGAGATATTAGGTCAGGACCAATAACATTGCAGATTCGTCTTTGGATATTATCAAGGATCTCTAATTACATAGCAGAAGCACCAGGCCAGATGTGGCAGAAATATTCAATGAATAGATGAATAATAGGCTTATGAAAGTTTAAGACAGATTCTGATGAGAAAAATAGGTGTCTTTCATTTGAGACTTTACATTATCAGTTAAGCATCCTGTGGTTATAGATGATGCCCCAAATATTAGATTAGTCCTTTCCTCAGACGTCTTGCTCAATAACAGACTTTTTTCTTAAGCGTCCTTAGTTTTACCAGTCTTTTAAAATCATGGCTCGTGTGCAGCACATATGATACACGGACGTGGAAATCATGTCTTGAGCATGCCATATGACGCACAGACCTAGAAGTTGATTCAATAAATAATTTAGATTAAAACTTTAAAAAAATCTCTCTTACCATGATCCTTCTTTACAGGTAATATTTCCAAACAGACAGGTGCAAGTGACGCAGGGGATAGGTTCTCCTTCATCATCTACTGGCCGGAATATACTTCCATGCTGAAAAAGATAATACAGACATTGCTTTATCAGTTGATGTTGTAAGATAACTATATACCGCCATGCAGATACCAGAATACTGTATCTTTTATGCGCAACAGACTCCCTGGTCCAGACCCAACTCGTATTATGCTGCATCCTGCCCGAAAAAATACCATACCACATATTGGCCAGAGAAGAGAACATGACTGAGAAGAGTAACAGATACTACACTATGTTCCTGCATTTACTACTCACCTCGCTACATCGGCAGAATGTGACACATTTCGTTTTTAATGTAGGGTGTTTCATACGCGTACATATAGGCAAAGGAAAAGACTGTCCAGTCCGGACGACCACTGCCACTTTGGTGTTGATATCCAACCATCACTTCCCATTTAGTGCCTCCTTAGCCTGGGGAAGGGTAATGGTTAACTGGTTCGTTGCCTGGACCGAGACTATTGTAGTGTGAGTTCGATCTTCAATGAATTCCACAAACATTGTATTGTGAGACCGGAAACTACCTACACAATAGACTCTCCCAGGCCTATATTAAGCATGCGACACAACACTCTAGAGAGTGACAGAGAGTGACACAGAGAGAGAGAGAGTGAGAGTCTCGTACGACTACCAGTATTGGACACTAACATATAGTAAGCTCCGCTTACACTATCTCTGTAACCTGTTGTTAATATATCTTTCTTACATCTAATCCGTGTTCCGTGTTTTACTTCTGTGGTCCCAACTTTGGCCCCACATCACATTGTCAATTTCATTTGCATATATGCGGTCTAAAACGAGGCTTAACTTAAGTCACAAAGTTGGTTGACCAAATCTATTGTAGTGTGAGGTTGATCTTCAATGGATTCCACAAACATTGTCAATTTAATTTGCGTATATATGGTCTAAAACGAGGCTTAACTTAAGTCACAAAGTTGCTTGACCAAATCTATTGTAGTGTAAGTTTGATCGTCAATGTATTCCACAAACTTGTGACATTGTCAATTTAATTTGCGTATATAGGAGCTAAGGACAAATTAATAATACGCATGTTAAGTTTTATTCATCTTTGTGAGTTCAATCCCTGGATCTGGTAGACTGAAAAGTCTCATAGTCTGTCCAGTTGAAGAAACGGGTAAGCGATTCAAATTTGAATAAAACTGATAAGTATTAACTGATATGGAGTATCCCACTAAGCATGAAAAAATAGAATAAGAACATTCTATCCTTGTGGATGATGGAATAAAGTGTTCGGTCCAAAATTCAGAGAAGATTACTGAATACAACGATAAATGTCGGAAGAAAGCCGGAGAATAAAACAGCCGAACTATTGAGAATATGACAAAGAAGATGAACAAACTTGATACGAATGATATTGATTTATTGATTTGTTTTTACGGCTTATCAACCTTTTGCTGGTTATTTAAAGAAAATATTTTTATACTGTAAGAAATTTTTGGTGGGTAACACTTTAGACCAAACTTCTCCAGACTGTCAAAAACAGAGAGAAAGAAATACGTTAATAAGTTGTTCTGAGAATGAATTTTGCATGCTAGGCTATGAGGATCTCATTAGTAGGCCTAGCGTTGAAATAAATACAACATAGGAGCCGCTGATAAAGAAAGGAAAAAAATGACAGTAAATCTTCAATGGGAGCAGCAGCAGCAATCAAAACATGACAGCAGCAGCTAATGTCTATCCATCGACATAAGCAGTGGAACGAGAACAGTCTACAGCCGTAGATTAAATAAACAATTCAGTTCAGAATTCTCTGTAGGTTACACAGATCGAGGAAAGTGGTTGGGGCACAATGATCGAAACGCCGTGATAACAACCACGAAGATGAGGACAATAGTCCGAATATTCAACACCAACGTCCGGTCGGTCCTACTTTACGGCTTAGAAACCTGGCGGGTAACCAACCCCCACAAACTTCAGACATTCACCAACCGATGTCTCAGGAACATCCTTAATATCAGGTGACCGGAAGTCGGCTCCAGCGACCAAATGTGGGGTAGAACTAGACAAGCCCCAATCGAGATTGACATCAAGAAACGGAAATGGGGATTGATCGGCCACACACACGGCAAGCCTGTTTCTAGTGTCACCAGGCAGGCAGGCCCTTGACTGAAATCCACAAGGGAAGTCATCTCCAATGACCAACTGTGGAACAGGACCATTCAAGCCCCAATCGAGATTGACATCAAGAAACGGAAATGGGGATGGATCGGCCACACACCCCGCAAGCCTGTTTCTTGTGTCACCAGGCAGGCAGGCAGGCAGGCAGGCAGGTCCTTGGCTGAAATCCACAAGGGAAGTCATCTCCAATGACCAACTGTGGAACAGGACCATTCAAGCCCCAATCGAGATTGACATCAAGAAACAGAAATGGGGATGGATCGGCCACACACCCCGCAAGCCTGCTTCTGGTGTCACCAGGCAGGCAGGCCCTTGACTGAAATCCACAAGGGAAGTCCTCTCCAATGACCAACTGTGGAACAGGACCATTCAAGCCCCAATCGGGATTGACATCAAGAAACGGAAATGGTGATGGATCGGCCACACACCCCGCAAGCCTGTTTCTAATGTCACTAAATAGGCCCTTGACTGGAATCCACAAGGGAAGCGAAAAGTAGGTCGACCAAAATAGACTTGGCGCAGATGTATTGACGCAGAGGGGAAGGCAGCCAGCACGGCATAGGACGAGCTGAAGAGGATCGCCCCGAACCGCATCCTTTGGGGAGGTTTTATTGCAGGCCTTTGTTCCCCCAAGGAATCAAGAGGCATAGAAGAAGAAATAATGACAACTTCTCATCAGAGAAATTCGGACAGAAAAGGAAATGAGTGTTGAAAATCTATGTTATATTTAATCTTCTATATGACAGGAACGCCGGAGATGCGATTTCCAGCGAGAGCTGGAGCGAGAAAAGGGGAAACGGAGGTTTGCCGCCGAGGAGAAGCGTGCTCGACGGAATGAAATCAACATGGCGAAATCGGTGGAAAGCGTCTTCACATGCATTTGTTGCAATCGAGACTGTCAGTCCCGCGCGGTCCCGTAGAACAATCGCCGAAGCTGAGACATAACTCTTTGGGTATAGATCTATAGTCGCCCTAGACTGACGGATGTCACATATAGGTCAGGGAATACTGGGTAAGTTCCTCAAAAACGAAGAAGGGTCTTTAAACATTTGAGATATACTTTTAGTAATAAATGCTGTCATGGATAAAGCATGCAAGCAATGAGGAAGTTTTAAGTTTTGATTGATTTGTTTTTTTATGGTTTATTTTAAAGTTTGTAACATATTTTTAGATTGTAAGAATGTTTTGGAGATAATAATGATTTACAAATACAAGTTTAACTAATTAACCCACAGATAGGATGGGGAGATGTGGATTCATGCCTTTCTCAACGGTATTTGCGTGTAAATGAATATAACGAACCAAACTGGATTTGGAACTCAGCTCTCCAATTAACAATTCCGAACCATTATCCATTACACCACTTGTACATCCAAGCTTACACATTCCCAAGCGGTAACCCATCTTGGTACTAACCAAGCTTGTCTTTGCTTACCTTCAGTGATCGTACGGGAATCGATGTTTCAACATGATATGACCGTAAGTCTTTTGCGAATGATGAGGCCTATAAAAACCTATTATGCCACTCAGTGAAAGAAAGAAAAGGACATCTTTGAATAAGACGACCATCAAAATAACATAGGTTAAGATGCTGTATCTTGGCACAATTATAAGACTTACCGGATACTTATCGCCATTATGGAAGCAATCCTGGCATGGACTGTTCTTGATGCATAACATGAAGTCGCCCTGTTTGTCTTCTATTTGATATCCAGGTTCACATTCACAAGATTTGCTTAAACTCACTCGACTGCTGTCCTGTTCTGAGCTGATGACGTAATCAAAGCACGTCATTGGTTGATTTTTACAGGGTATGTCACATGACATGATTGTAAGTTCCTTGCATTCACCTAAAAGCATAAAAAAAACATTTTATATGACTTAGGCATCACAACTTATTTATAGTGTAGAAACTGTTTTTTAATATGCTGTTCTGTTTCTTAATAGCTTTCTAACCTTGAACATCAAACTGATAATATATCAGTTTGATGTTCAAGCTATTAAGAAACAGAACTGCTTTCGAGAGAGAAAAAATGGCGAGGAAGTTATGAAGTTGTATTTCAACGACATATATGGTGCAGTACTTAGTTTTATTCTAAACTAACTAAAAAGTCGCACTCCGTGTGGACTTTTAAGTAGATACCTCTGTTGTGAATATGGATTATCTCCCCTTTGATAATCCAAGCTATAAAAGCTGTACATTTCCGCTTGTCAAGTAGACGAGTAGTACGACTCTTAATTGAATAAAAGATTACTAGACAGAATTTTTTGTCCTGTTTTCATGACAACCTCCATGAAATCGGTAAAAAAATCGGCATACCGTGATAAAAACATACTCCAAACATAAGGAAAACTTATTTTTATCATCAAAATCTTTGTTATTATTAAGAGAAACGATGAAAATATTTTTTGATTATTTTATTTAATATTTTACACCTTTTTCGAACATTCGCAATTTTGATTAAAAAACATGTTTTTTTTTTTTTGCATTGACGGTTGCATAGCAAATGTTCGCGTCTTTTAGCGGTAACAGACACATTAATTTAAAAATTCTTGCAAAAAATCAAATAATTTTTGGAGTTTAATAAAATTTTTAGGAATTATTTATAAACGAACGAAATTATTTTTGAATTATTTTTTATTAGAAAATCTTGGTAAAAATATATTTTTTACATGTGTTTCTCTTCACTAAATTTTACGAAAGCATCAGAAATTCATCGAGATAATTTGTAGTGACTATATTCTTTAAAAACAGAATTTTTTGAAGAGTTTAAATCAGCAATTTTATTTTGTAAAATCAGACCTGGTCTTACCGAAAATCTGTTCTGAATCGAAAAATAAAAAAGGCAATAAAATTAAGATATGAAATAATTAGCGAAGCTTTTAATCACTTTTATGAATAATATATATATTAAAGACAATATTGTCTGAAGAAAAAAAATTCGTTGAAAAACGAAATTGTTTTCGTTTTTGGCAATTTAAACTTGAATAATTTATAAAGTTTTTGAATCTTTTAAAGTTCAATTTCGATGAGATAATTGTTAGGGAATATTGTTAGTAAGTAAATCGAAATTGAACTTTAAAAGATTGATTTATAAATTATTCAAGTTTAAATTGTCAAAAATGAAAACAAATCTTGTAAAAGTAAATTTTTCATCGAATTTTTTTTTTCAGACAGTATTCCTTTTGATATATATCATTCAAAAAAGCGATTAAAAGCTTCGCCAATTATATACCTTAGTTTTATTACGTGTAAACACTGTGTTAAGAAATGTCTAGGCATTTAGTTGCTTATGGTTTGTCTAAAAAGAATGTTGAATGTGTGTAAATTTGATTAACAAGACTTACTCTCATTTCGTTGTTGGCAGTCACAGCAACCGTCGTCTTTCAGAATCGGAGTCGTATTCTATAAAAAAAAAAAACTTTGAAAATATATTCATTATTACATTGACAAAGAATATAAACGGAGAGGACTGTGGACCGGGCGATAACCCAAAGCTATCTGGTAAAAAAAATAAATAAATAGTCGTCATATCAAGTTGAATTAGTGTGAATTATTAGATAATAGGCTTTTTTTACATAACTTAATTTACAAACTTGACGGCAGATATTTCTATTAAGATCTAACATAGGCAGATCAAAAATAAAAGAATGGAAAACACCAAAAATTAATCCGCATACCTGGAAGGCATATATTTGTCACCGAGAACAAAATGAAGACAAAGGGCGAACTTTTAAAAGGGGAACGTTATGTAATTAGCATCATTTGTTACTTAACAGGTAAGGTTTCTGTAATTGCTTACTTCTTAACTTCAGCGCTGAATGCGTGTTATATAGGAAGAAAATGAATAACTACCGACATCGAGGTTCGAGCGTGACACTCTGGACTTATGAATATATGTTTTCCGTCAGGTGTATAATTAGCGGTGTCAGGCTACTGACTGTGGTGATTACTGATTGACTATTGAGTGGAACTATCCAGTCGAATTCGTGTGCTTGATGATTTGGGTTTTGATTTAGGATTTACTGGACATTAAGCTGAGCCGCACTGCTAACAAGGTATTCACTGAAATGGTTAATTATCTTTGGTTGACTTTTTACTTCTTTGTTCTTTATTTTAACACTGAAGTCTTGAGTTAAACTTACTTCTTAATGGCCACCGTATATCACAAACATAGTAAATACAATTTCAGTGTTTAGGCGGAATTTAGAAGAAATTCGAAGCCCAATCCTAAACAGGAAACAAGGAGAAACCCATACTACTGTTCAAAAAGCCGACGAGGAGTTTGAACCGGACGATAGGCGAACCTATCTACTCCTATTGAAGGAAAACATATAAAATAAATAGTAAATAAAATTTCAGAGTTTAGGCGGAGATGTTAGATGAATAGAATAGAAGTAGACTTTAGAAGGAACCGGAAACACAATCCTAAACAGGATACAAGGGATAAAGCTCTGCTCGTTGTTCAAAAGACCAGGGCGGAGTATAAAACCGATCGATAGGCGAACCTATCTACTCCTATTGAAGGAAAATACATAAAATAACAAGTAAATAAAATTTCAGAGTTTAGGCGGAGACGTTAGATGAATAGAATAGAAGTAGACTTTAGAAGGAACCGGAAACCCAATTCTAAACAGAGATCAAGGGATAAACCTCTACTCCTTTTCAAAAGGCCGGGGATGAGTGTGAATTGGACGATAGGCAACGCTATCTACTCCTATTGAGGAAAAAAAAAACAAGGAATTAGTAAATACAATTTCAGAGCTTAGGCAGAGACGTTAGACCGAGAGTAGAATTTCGAAGAAACTTGGAACCCAATTCTGAATCGGAAACAATGGATACTACCGGGCGACAGGCGAGTCTATTAATTTAGCATTTCACTTACATTTGGACACTTTGAACAAGAGTTGGGATCAGTAGAAACACATTTCATCTCTCCATCAAAACAGACGCATATAGTTTTGGTACCGTTGCAGGCGATGGTCTTTCGGACATCTCCAGGGACACAGGTGGTTGAAGGTGTGCTCAGTCCCGTATGGCAAATGTCTTTCACTTTAATTGCTGTGTTATTAAAGCAAGTGTAGTGGAAACATCCGCTGGACCAAACTTCTCCAGGCTGTCAAGAACAGAAAAAAAACTACAGTAAGTTGTTATTCTGAGAATCAATTTTGAAAAAACGGACCAAAGTATTAATTTGTCGTAATGCATTTTTTACCAGAGCTCATATTGCAATTTTCAGCACATACGCTAGGCCACAAAAATATGGGGTATACTGTTCTAGTTCCATGTGCCTCAAAGACACATGGCACAGTGGATAAAGGCGTTGGTTAGATCCAGTGACAGGACCCAAAGAGTTGTGAGTTCAATACCTGATTAAGGCAGTGGTTAAGTTGGAGAGGTGAATTAACAGGATACCTGATAAGTGACATCTATTAGAAATGGCATGATCGAAATAAAGTTGTTCAGTTCGAATATTCCAACCACCTGAAGAAGGCCGGAGCGTACAAACAGCCGAAACGTTGTGATAAATATGGCAACAAATTTAAGGACAATAGTCCGAATAATGTAAAGAAAAGTTTTATATTCGGGCTATTGTCCTCATCTTTCTTGTTTTGATAACAACAACAAAGACGAGGGCAATAGTCCGAATATAAATATATAAATAAACTGCTTCGGTTACTCATAGTCTAGCATATGCTAAGCCATGAGGATCTCCTGAGTAGGCCTAGCGTAGAAATAAATACAACATGGGAGCTGCTAATAAAGAAAGTATTTAAACTCAGTAGCAGAAATCAAACATCATAAGCATTATTCCTAGGTATTAGCAGTAGAACGAGAACAGTCTGCCCCTAGACTAAATATAGGGTTCAGTTCAGAATTCCCTGTAGGTTACCCAGATCAAGGAGGGACAGAAGGCACAATAGCCGAATCGTCGTGATAACTACAACAAAGATGGGGATAGTAGTTCCAATATAAATAGTGTAAATAATACCCCTTCTATAACTATTGTCCTCATCTTTGTTCTTATTTTAAAAAATGTAGCTGTTGCGTAGCCTTTATTCCAGAATAGATCATGTATATTATTTATCTATATAACACTAAAAGTCTGTGATTGTGGGGTGTGTCCGTCCGGCGCATAATGATTTAAGTTAATCTGATTTAAGTCAAAAAGATTTTAAAATACGAGTTGTTTATACAGTAAGTATTTATATTTTAACTTTCTTGAAACAGACAATTTTTAATTAAAATATTTTTAAGTTAAAGACAGACACAAAAAGATCCCGCTTTGCGGTTTCGTTCAGCAGTTTGTAGAGTAATTATTTTCATTTCAGCTTTCTTTAAACAAACAATATTTGAAATACTTTCCAAAAAATTTTTGCCATATTTTCAAGTGAATATGGTTTTAAAATATTTTTTGACATATTAAAAATATTTTTAAGTTAATCTGATTTGAGGAATCGGAGATCCGATTTCGAATTCCAGTCAAATCAATTACATTCACTTACGTGCTAATACACTTGGGAAAGGTAAGAATCCTCTTCTTCTCCCCACCCAGCTATGGGTAAATAGCATGAGAGACCGGGTTCTATAGCCTTAGATGGCAACTGGTCTACCGCATAAAGAAATGTCAACCTACTGCAGGAAAAAATCCACCTCGTCAGTCATGTATCGAAAGATACATGATCGCATAAGCGTTTATCACGCATGGCACATAACTGACTGATTTAATGTTCAAGTTCATCACGGAAATTCAATTCCTCTTAAATGCTGTAAACAATCAGTAAAAGGTTAAACATGAACACTATTTACATTATTCGGACTATTATCCTCATCTTTGTCGCCATATTTATTACAACGTTTTCCGGCCATTGTACGCTCCGGCCTTTTTCAGTTGATTGGAATGTCGAACTGCCTAAATACACTATATATATATATATATATATATATATATATATATATATATATATATATATATATAATCCAATGTAGTGCTAAAGGACGAAACATATTACAGAAAAACATTTTTTGACATAGATTTCTCTAAAAATGTTTTTGATAATTCATGATGAGTCATTCATGAAGGGGCTGTCTATGAAACTCTATAATCGGAATGCTGAAGGTAATATTAATCAGCTAAATAACCTCTTTTATCTGTGTTAATTCTTTTCCTCTCTTTCTCTCACCACACACACACACACACACACACACACACACACACACACACACACACATATATATATATATATATATATAGTTAACAAATCCGTTGGTATATAATACAAGTGGATCCTAGTAATACAAAATATTAAAACAGAACCATAAAAAGAACTCAATGTATTTATTATTACAGAGTAAATAATCATTAAACAATAAAATGCAAAATCAGCTGCAGAAATACGTTATTCCCCATATGAGGTGATTTTGAATTTTATTGTTTATATATATATATATATATATATAGTTCATGAAAAACTAGGTAATCCGTATGGGTAAACCTAAGGTGGATAAAATTATTCATTTTTTGTTTTAACCTTTGGAAGTAAAGTCTGATGATCCGCAGTCCTTTAAAAGGGCTGTGGTGAAATAATTTATTACATGGAACCTTAAAGTAGTCTGGTTTTAATTAAATTTTATTTAATATATATATATATATATTTCTTCACTGGTAGCACAACTCTGAGTTTCATGGACAACACAATATTCACGTCAATCGAGAAGCCAGGGATATACTTAAATTAGCGCTAGCACTCTACATGCGATATTACATATATATATATATATATATATATATATATATATATATATATATCATATTTGATTTGATCATTGATAGCGAATGAGAGAGAGCGAGAGAAAGACAAATTTTATATTTTATTAGTCAGAGGGAGAGAGAGATGTTATATTTGTATTAATCAGAGAGAGAGAGAGAGAGAGAGAGAGAGAGAGAGCTCTTACCCGCCTGGCAACTTCACCGTCAGTGCAAAGGCAAGAACCGGGATATACACAGTCGGTGCCGTTGAAGACCAAATGTGCCGGACAGTCACAGCCTCTTTTGCAGACAAAGGCGTCATGTTCAGTGCAGTTCGGATTAAGGTATTGACAAACGCCGCATTGTTTCATGCAGTCCGTCTTTTCAAGAGGTGGATAACAAACTATAAGAAATAAAAGGAGAAACATAATCATGAAAGAAAACATAAAATGTTTGGAACTTGGTAAAGTTACTTCAACGAAAATGAAAAAAAAAGTGATTTCATGATTAGTATTCATCAGCCTCCAACAGATATCTCTCGCATTTTTTTCTTTTCAAAAATGTCGTTAGGAATCCATTATTTCATATTTGGTTGCTTGATTTTGTTTAGGGGCATATCAACACCGCTAAGGGTTAGTGAATGCCGAAATCTAAATATTTTGATTGGTTGATTTTGTTTAGCGGCATATCAACACCTCTAAGGGTTATTGAATGCCGAAATCAAAATATTTTGATTGGTTGATTTTGTTTAGCGGCATATCAACACCTCTAAGCGTTATTGAATGCCGAAATCTAAATATTTTGATTGGTTGATTTTGTTTAGCGGTATATCAACACCTCTAAGTGTTATTGAATGCCGAAATCTAAATATTTTGATTGGTTGATTTTGTTTAGCGGCATATCAACACCTCTAAGGGTTATTTAATGCTGAAATCTAAATATTTTACATTTGTTTGGTTGGTTGAGTTTGTTTAGCGGCATATCAACACTTCTATGAGTTATTTAATGCCGAAACAATTTGGATTTACAAACATACGTGAGCTGTCTGCAATGTAATGGGACTTGTGTTACAAACAATTTATCAACCTCTATGCGTTATTTAATGCTGAATTCTAGTTTTTGTACGTAATTTTGTTTTCAACTGAGGTATTTTCAAAATAAGTTTATGTTTTCAAAGTAAAGGCATATTTTTAGATTCATAATTTGTAGATCATAAAATATATTGCTGGTAATTTCTTTTTTTAATTTTAAATGTATCGCGGGTAATTTCACGACAAAAATGTATTGTTGGTAATTTTACTATAAAATATATTTTTATTTTTTCTAGTCTTGGATTGATTGTGATTTTGTTATAAAATGTATTGTTCATTTATTATAAAATCTACCGATAATTTTTGTTTGAGTTTTCACCCGTTAGGTCTATAGCTGGGACCTAACGGGTGCAACCACCCGGTTTAGGGTGAGTCTGGGAACAATAGTAGTTAAATGGTGGTTTCACCCTCCTGAAACCTTCAATCTCTTGATTAGATGCCTCGCTACCGGATGTAGTTTATCGTCATACCCAGGAAGCCTTTATCTAATTAAAACCGTATGCTTTTTCTCATTCCCTGCTGCGTTTGATTTTCCCAATTTCTCCGATAATAATTCATTTTTCTCGATCATTTTGACATATATGATTTTATTATTTGTATCTGATAGCATATGTCTTATATCATGTCCAACTTACACTCTTGTGCAAATTAATTGAAACAACCACTTTAGTTTATTTCTTTCACCATACAGTCAGTTTTAGAACCGCTGGAGTGACAGGGTGTAATCGATTTCTATATTTTCCTCAGATTGTTGTGTGCAGTAATATGAATCTATTTTCGGAGTGTATGATGTAATTTGTTTGGCCTTGAAAAATATTATGTCATCATTGATTGCATCAGTTTTTTTTTTAAACTCAGACACTATTGTCTCGACTGTCAATTAGTTGTCCTACGGCAATTGTCTGCGATGGTCGTTACTCCAAGGAAGCGTACGAAAATTGTAACACTACACATACTATGGCAAGCATTACCAGCGAGCAAACTAAAGTGCTATAGACTGGCCCGGAAACTCTCCAGATTTTAAATTCAGTCGTGAACCTGAAGTCAATCTGCAAGGAACAACTTCGTGGAATGGACATACGAAGTAATAACGTGCACTGGGTCATGTTTCATTGGAAAAAACAAATAAAGGAAATAATAACGGAATTATTCGTTTTGTTTCAATTAATTTTCACAAGTGTGTATTTAATATCTCACCAATATTTATTCTTTGGTAATCAGCGTAATTGAACATTTTTTGTCTCAGTTTTGCTTACAAGTTAAAGTTTATTTATATTTGCTTTTCTTGCTAGCTTGTTATCTGAAGAACTCAATTTTTGGTGCGAAACTGAATTTCAGCCCAAATCAGGCTTTCAGACCAAATCGGTCATTTGGCTGAAATTGGATTTATAGTCCAAATCAGAGTTAAAGTGAGGTTTTGAAGTTCCATGGAGTAAATTGAAGAAATTCAAAGTTATTTCTTCAAAATTATCATTGCTGTTTTCTAAGCTGAATCAAATGTCCATTTAGTTTTTACCCAGGGGTTCAACTATCCCTTGCTTAAAAGTCCGCACTCTGGCTTTTAAGCTAGCAGATAATATAAAACAAAGTAGGCAGTTGTTGATAACAATTGTTTACAAAAGATATTTGATATGTTAGCAATATTTATTCTTTGGGAATCAGCGTAATGGAATGTCTTTTGTCTCAGTTTTGCTCAAAAGATAAAGTTTGTTTTTATCCTGATTTTCTTGTTTTTTTTGTAACGTTTTCTGCCGTCATTCTTAATGAAAGACAATATTTTGTTTTATTTTCATAGATTATTAATATATAGAAATACTATAAAGTCATATCAAACAGAAAAGTGTGATAGATTATTTAACACTTTTAAATGAATTATTGGTTATGTTGAGTGAGCACCTTTCTCCAAAAATAAGTTTTGAAACGGAAATTAGAAGAAACATGTAATGGCATAGTGAAGCTTTCATTGGAACTCGGCTTTCCGATTTCCAATTACACCACCCGCACATCCAAGTTTACAGCACCTGGTTTTCCCAAGTGGTCACCCATCTTGTTACTAACGTCGTTTTACTTTGAAGATCATACGGGAACCAGTGTTTCAACGCAATATGGCCGTGAGGTGAAAGGCACACGAGAAAAAGAAATCAGCAGAGAAAATTGGTTCTTGTACCATTCTAAGACACACTTTGTGATAAATAAATATTTCGTTGTCTTGCTTGGCAATAGAGTCTTGAAAATTGCTGTTTGAAAATAAGAAAAAAGGCAACTTACTTTCAGTTGTTGTACTGTAAGTGTATCCCGTTGACGTCATTGCCGCCGGTGTAGTCGCACTAAAACCTTGAGAACGTAAAGGAAAAGGTGTCTTTAAGTAAAATTCATTTGATTTCAATGTTTAATGACATATCAACACCATATGGGTCATTTAATGCCGACATTTAATATTCTTGGGACCTTTCATTTGACTTGATATATATATATATGTATATATATATATATATATGTATATGTGTTATTCGCTGACAGTACTGTTTCGCAGCTCCTCAGTGCGACTAGACAGCCGAATGCCTCGAGCTCGGATCGAAACACAACCGATTTGCGATCAGTCAGAGCTTCTACCACTGAGCCATATTCAGTCGACAGAACGAATTAGCCAAATCTAGCATATTGTTTTTACGTAGAAAATCCAAGCAGCCATAGTGCTCTATTCATTTTACTGAAGAGCTTCGCATTTAGGCAGGTGACCGTTGTTTTTCGAATTAGCTTGTCATTCGACAGTGTTCAATTGAAAATATATTTTCAAGAGCTAAATTATATATATATATATATATAAAATATTATATTATTGATTGCATGCAAATTAAAGATCACATTATCAAAATATTAATTAAACACAAAATAATACCGAAATTGCAACACGAAAAATCTCGAGAGCGACTCCATTTGCAAACAAGCGTGTTCAGTCGCAGTTGAAAACAAACTGGAATCTTTAAAATAGAACACAATAAATGAAGTATTGGTGACAGCAGCAAAATAATTCATATTGAAGAAAGACAGACATGGAAAATTGATAATCTTGACAGCAGATAAAGCCAAGAATCCGTTCCCGTATCTAATGTCGCTGTCACATATGGTCAGGTGATTCTACTATGTATGTAGAAATTCTTGACAAAATCCAGAGAAGAATCTGCAAAGTAATCGATCTTGACCTGGCATCTCGGTTTCAGTCACTTTCTCATCGCCATAAGGTGGTTTCCCTGTGTGTTTTCTATAAATATTTTCATGGCAATTGTTCTGATGTGCTTTCGTCATTTGGTACCTAGACTTTATGAATTTAAGCCATAATATAGCTCCCCTCTGCCTTTTCTATAAATATTTTCATGCTAATTATTCTGATGAGCTTTCCTCTTTGATACCAAGACTTTATGAATTTAAGCCATAATATAGCTTCCCTCTGCCTTTTCTATAAATATTTTCATGATAATTGTTCTAATGAGTTTTCCTCTTTGGTACCTAGACTTTATGAATTTAAGCCATAATATAGCCTCCCTCTGCCTTTTCTATAAATATTTAGATAGATAGGTCTCATAATTTCACGGTTGGAGTTGTTAGTTGTAAGTTCTTTGCTAATAGTTTCATCTCTGGCACTTCATTTTGGAACTCTCTTCCTTACATCTTCTTGCTTTTCCGTTAACTAGGCCCTTTAAAAAATTTAAACGCAATGTCAGTAGTCAACATTTGTATGCATAAAATACTGTTTTTTTAATTTCTTTTACTCTCATTAACTCCTTGCATCGCAATGGGCTTTATTTACTTTGCATATGTGATATTCTAAAATGAGTAACCATAAATATACTTACGTTTAGTTGTTTGTTCTCTGGTATGTGTTATCGGAGTGCCTGGAATTAAAAAGAATTAAATATATTATAATTTATATATATTAATGCATAAATTTCAATGTTCATGTTTTTGTGAGTATGCTTCTCGGAACTTGAATATCTATACTGCCCCATGCAATTACTGCAAACACGAATAAATATGTAAAAGAATGTGTCTTATATCCAGCCCAACATATCGATTCTTGTATAACGAGCATGACTGATTTACATATTACACTTTAAAAATCAAATTTAAAAATATAATTTTTTCTTATTCATTTCCGATTGGGTTTTTGGGATCTTTATAAGTCATTGTTGATAACTTTTATAATTAAAAATTATTCCGACGAAGCCATTTTCTTTTCAGAAGGTGGTATACCTGAGTATTTTGATCACAGCTCAGGTGAAAATACTAAATAATCAATTCTGATAGTTTTTTAGTAGTTACATTTTGAAAATGTCACGAATATTACAAATTATTACTGGTCCTGTCCTGGCGTTTCGGCTTCAGTAACTTTCCCACTGCAGTACAGTTGCTTCCCTGTGCCTTTTCAATAAATACTTTCACAGTGCTTGTTCTAATGAGCTTTCCACCTTGGTACCTAGACTTTATGAATTTAAGCGCAGTACTAGATTGGCAACAAGGTCTCACCAATTTACCGTTGAGTTGGCTAGGTGTAACCGTAAGTTCTATGCTAACAGTTTCTTCTCTCACATTCCTCGCTTGTGGAACTCTCTTTCGGCTCCATGCTTTCCAGCCAACTTCGATCTTTAAAAATTTATAATCGATGCCAATCGTTATCTAGTGTCTTTCTGATTAATCTTCTATTGTTCTTGTTCTTTAAAAACGTTTTTGTTTTCTAATTCTTTCACACACAGTAGTAACTCTTTGTGTCTTAGTGACTTTATTTCCTTGAATGGGGTGAAATAGATTAAAAAAAAATACCTTGTATAAAATAAATGTCTACAAAAATATAAAAATATATCAGAATGAATTAATTCGAAGGTTATCATTTTCCGCCATACGCAAATCGCCCAAAGAAACGACAGCTCAGAATAACGGATCAAAGGAATGGAAATTGACTTTCACAACGCCGGGTACCCGTGAGATATAAATGCATTAGGCTGAGTCATAAGTAATTTCCATTTTGGGGAATCAATTCTAATGACGAATGTATAATTCTAAATGCTAATCAGACACCGAAATTAAGAAGAATTCTTGACTATACTAACATACGAGAATTTCCAACGCAAAATGCAATAAATCTTTATATCAAGTTTACCTAAAAAGTTCCAATATTTATTTGTGACCTAATTTATCAAATGCTTTTGTATAATCTACAAAACATCGGTATATATCCTTCTGCATTTGTATTGATTTTTCTGATAAAATTCTGAGCATAAATATTACATTCCTTGTTCCAGTGTCTTTAATGAACCCGCACTGATCTTGTCCTATTGCCGGCCAAATTCTGCTGCGTGTTCTATTCATCAGAATTCGGATGATAAGCTTTGTAATATGGCTCGTTAGGCTGAGTGTCCGATGGAGTTCACATTCGTTTGCACCTGACGTAGACAGTGTTGTTGGAATGGTTTATTCTATCTATCATTGCCATTATCAATTGTAATATCGAATGTATCATTCTAAGAACTAATCATACGTGATAGTTAAGAATAAATTAGTAGCCCGTTAACATACGATAATGTTCAACGCAGTCGACTGACAAGAATAAATCTCCACAACTGGCGCCAAAAGATGAGCTCCATGAAAGAAAGATGTAACCGCAAGTTCTATGCTAACAGTTTCTTCTCGCACGTAGAACTCACTTCCGGCTACATGCTTTCCAGCCAATTTTGATCTTTAAAAATTTAAATGTAACATCAGTCGTTAACTCCTGTCTTCTTAATTCCTGTTCTTTTATTGTTCTTTTCCTTAATAATGTTTTTCTTTTTCTCATATTCTCTCACACTCGGTAACCCCATTCTCTTGCGTCTTAGTGGCTTAATTGCCTTGCTTGGCGTGAAATGATAAACAAAGAAACCGGTTGTGCGTGTGATGGGAATGACGAGATATTATTCGATTTCTTAAAACGCAGTGAAACAGTAAATGCACATTTATTCGTCCAGCAGCCGCAACGTGTCCATAAAAGGTTTTTGGTCGAAGAGCACCTTGCCTACATGATAACCGAAGGCATCATATGGAAAGAATAACAAAGGGGGAGGTTTAAACTCGGTTGGTCTATTCTACCCCACCCGCCAGATTCACCTGACCTTGACTAATGATGAAAATCACAAGAGTGTATTGTGTGCAGTGACAATGCTTGAATTTTGTGAAAGTAATTCGTATAAACAACCCATTATAATGAAGCAGTCAAATGAACTATTGATTCGGAATCATTTCAATGAAAAGGAGCATAGTCTGAAGACATTTTGAAGATCATGTTGCGCCAATATAATTGTCATTGTAGAAGTTTCCGCAATTGGATGATACTCACTGATGATCAAACATTGGCAGCATTCGCCTGCTCGGGTCACCAAAGTTTCCTCCTAAAAAAAATATAGAAATAAAAAATATAAGTAGACGATTCTTCATTTTGTTCTATGTGCCGTGTCCCTTCAGCACGTGGGCAGTCATAGCTCTCCACAACTACCCATCCTAACTAACTTTTCGCTATCTCTCTTAATCCCTGTTCTGCCAACCATTGACATAGAACCTTAATCGAAAAAAGATCTTATTTAGTTTTGGGTTTGAGGATTTAATGCAAGGGGAGACAACGGATGTTAAGGGCTTTTAGGATCTGAGGTATTTTTTTACGTTTTAGTATGTTGCAGTCTATATTCGTCAATATAAATGCGGATGGTAGTGAGGCTGGATATCTTTATTTGTTATCATAAAATGTGCAGTGTTCTTCAGTATAACTTACTATATTTTATAGATTGGGAAAAAGAGCCAAACTCAAAATTTATTGAAGAAAATGTTTTAAATTTGATAAAATAAAGGAATGCAGTTTGTGTTGTGTAGAAAAACGGCTGACCTTCTCCACACTAATTGATGAACATTGACTCGTCTATTTAATATGAGAATACATCATTCTCATATTAAATGGTCTCAAGGCGGTTTGCAAGGCGTAGCTTTGATTTGGTTTTATTTGTTTTGTCTTACGGCAAATCAACACATCAATGGGTTACTTAATGCCGACAAGATTTTTATTACTGGCAATATTTTTTTTTTCAAAAATAT